CTTTTCACTGGCATGGGAATTCAACAGAGCTTGTATTGTTGAATCAGCTTCACACTTCACTTTAAAAGCCTGAACATTCACAAAAGATGTTTGAGGAGAGGACATTTCTTTCTCCTTTTCTGTATCTAACAGAGACTTTCCTGCAGAACTGACAAATCCATTAAGGGAGTGTATATTGCAATTAAACTCCAGAACCAAACATCAACTGCAATTAGTTAACAACACAGTGGATAACAGGGGCCCTTTCTATTACAGCACTTGTAACTTTAAGAGGTTTTGGCAGAATAAAATGGTCTGAGCCTCAGGACCCCTAGTGTATTTTGCATAGAGGGAGGTGGCATCCCTCAAAGAATTACTAATGCGATCTACATAATCTACTGCCTTGCCACCTGCTATTGTTTGCTGTAAGATGGTATGTGGGTGTAGTGGATATTTGGATGTCATTAATGTGAAACTTTCTCAGCAAAGTAGCATCTCATGACAGTGTTACATTGTCATAGGTAGCTAAGGATTCTAATACTTGTAAGTTGGCCTAGATGACCAATTCATGTGGTCATCTGAGAGCAAGTGACCAGCAAGTAAACAATGCGACATTTGACAACAGTGAGTTATATATATATATATATATATATATATATATATATATATATATATATATATATATATATATATATATACACACATACATACATACACACAATGAGAGAGAGAGACAAGCAAGTAAACAATGAGACATTTAACAACAGAGAGTTATATATATATATATATATATATATATATATATATATATATATATATATATATATATATATATATATACACACATACATACATGCACACAGACTTGTTGGCATTGTTTGTAACTAACTTCTTCAATTGCAATTACATTTGGTTCTTTAAAGTTTTTAAAATACTTTAATTGACAAGTTAAATCATTGACTTAAATTTAATTTATTGATTAGTATTTGTTTATCTCTAATTATTTTACTAAGGGATTTTATTTCTTTTTTATTTTGACATTATTCAATACCCATATTCTTTTTCCTAAACATGTCCCTTTAATTTTTTATTGATTTATTGCCAGAATAGAACTTATTCAATAATCTCCTGTTAAATCTGTTTTGATCTCGCAAATTTTGGCATTTACGTTTCTTTTTTTTCGGTTGTTTTAAAAACTTTCTGACATTCTTTTTTACTTTTGGTTAACTACCTTATAATCCTTTTTAATGGTTTTATTTTCAATCTTCCACTTTTTATTTTCTTCTTTCAATTCTGCATTAAGTTTTCTTTTCCCTGCACAAAGTTTGCAACCTTCTTAGATGATGGTCCAGCAACAACCTTTACAGGTTTTGATTTTCTATTACTATTATTGCCTTTCGGTAGTGGTGGAAACTTTCCAGCTAAAAATGAAACAATTTTATCACAAGTTCTTTGTTTAAACCCAATCATGTTTTTGTAGTTTGTTGATGGGTTTAAAATTGTAAAAGTTAATTTTTTAATGCTCTAATGTTTAGGGATCTGTGTTTGGTATTGTTTCTGAGAAATTTAAGTCTCTACATTTCTATTTACATTTTTTTGGTTAGCAAGAAATAGGCTAATAACATGGCCATTGGTGGATGGATCAGCAAATGAATATGTTTTAAGAAGTTCTTTGAGCTTATCTGTTGGTTATCTGTTACAAAAATAATATATTTCCAATATATATATATATATATATATATATATATATATATATATATATATATGTGATAGAGCAGACTAAAGTCTAAAGATAGACTTTTATTTATCTTCTATTTTCAAAGTTAACATGCCGAAATTTTTAAAAAAATAAAATTGTAAAATAAAAAAGAAAAATATATATATATATATATATATATATATATATATATATATATATATATATGTGATAGAGCAGACTAAAGTCTAAAGTTAGACTTTTATTTATCTTCTATTTTCAAAGTTAACATGCCGAAATTTTTAAAAAAATAAAATTGTCAAATAAAAAAGAAAGATGTCTGCTTTAATTTCTGTGTTGAAATAAAATGTGCATGTTGGCCTGTAATCTGAAAAAGAATAACCCAAAGAGACGATACCCTTGCTAAATTAAAAAGTAGATAGTGCTTTTTGGACAGCAAATTCATGATACCAGATTTCTGGGTTCAGTCAAATTACGCTACCCAGCAACACCTATTTCCCTGTGTTGGGTACTATTTTTTGACATGGTCACCCTTTTTGTTGCAATGACAGCAGATGCATTAAAAAAGTAGTACCGGTACCCAATAAAGGCTGAGTGGTGGGATGGGAGACACTGTGATTATGCTACTTACCAAGACAAATGAAAATAACAAAAATGATGGGAATGTTTTTTTAAATTTATTTACAAAAAAATTTTTTTTAAATGAAATTCAGTGAATTTTACGGTGCATAAAAATGGTTAAAGAACTTGAAAAATCAGCAAAAAGCCTTCAAATTATTTTTTATTATTATATTTTTCCGATCAACCCTAAAATCTATCACTAAACCAAACCTGAACCCTTAAAATCCCTAATCAGACAAGTATTGTCCTCTAACGCAGCATTAGTGTCTCCCTACTGCTAAAAAATCTATAACTCTACCTAACCTGAACCCTTAATACTCCTTACTCAGCACCAGTGTATCTCTAACACTAAAATCTGATCTCCTGATGTAAACCATGTGCTCATGTGTTATAGTTACACACTGTTTATTGAGAAAAATGTTAAATTGAATAAAAAGCTTAAAATCATTTTTAAAATATCCTAAAATAATGAAAACCCAACTGGCAGTTTCATCAAACACATTTTTAAACACTTTATTACAGGTTCCATGGTAAATAAAATCCAAAAGATATCAATCAAGTTATATCCATCATGTGAGTAAAACCAGGGCTAAAATAGCCTAGGCCGACTATACCATCAGTCCAGATTATACCCCTTTATATCAGTGGTGTACAGTGATAAACACATGAATTACTTTAAATTTTGTCCTGTTTTGGGAGTTTGGCTTTGTCAGGTAAGTTAAGTTAGAAAAATGACTGACTTAAATCTTAAAACTCTAAGGGCAGACTATATCCCCCCAGGCCAGACTAAATTGATCTAATGACTAATGTGGTGGTCAAACAATTTCTCTTAAATTAATAAGTATCAGTGGAGCTGAAGCATAGCCTGGTTTTGACGCTTGGGGAGCTACCATTTTTTTTTTAAAAATGCCCACATTCCAAAATTAATAAGATCAACAAATAAAATTGATTATAGTTATATGAGTTTATTTTTGTACGTCAAATGCCGGTGTAAATTTAGGTTCACTTGACTTTGTTGTGTTTAAAAAAAATTATTTTTAGTTTTTTACCAAACTAGTAATGTTTGATAATCTTTAGTTAAATTATTTTTTTTAAAACTAATAACTCTGCCATTGTCAGCACAAAACAAGAAACACAAGCAGACTAGGACTATCAACCCACTATAAATTTCAGGAAGGAAGTATCTTAGCACCACTCCTGGACAACCACAGCATACATATAAAACCTAAGGTGATGGGAACTACTCCGTCTGGGACACCAGTTACATTCTGACAGGATAGGAGGATGACCACACCCTTTCAGAAATAAAGTCATTCACAACATGAACACTGACTTGACAAAAACACTACAGTACTATTTGAACCAAACCAAAATGTTGAGGAATATGTGAATACCTCTAGCATCTCTCTACAGCAAAATTTGCTGATAACTTTCTGACCAAACCTCTGACTCTAGGCCTAACCTAACAAAAATCTGATAAGTTTATGCAAATATCTCTGTGGTTCTTTTTGTTTAAGAGATATTTATATACGGGTATTATATTTTCCAACAAAAAATATGTATTAGTTAAGTTAGCATTATTTTACCTTCAATTTTTAAATTTAAAGTGAATACCTCATATTCTTTTTAGAACAAACAATATTCTGGTCTACAATTGGCACAAAAAAAAAAAATCCTAAACAATGAGACTCTGTAAATTAAAAAGTGAACGTTGCCATTTTAATAATGAAATCACGATACCCGGTTTTTGGCATTTCCCTGGCGATACCAAAGTGTCTACTAATACTAATATTACTATTGACAACTCATGACAACTGTATTACTACTACGTCTCTGATGACAAAATAGTTTATTATTAGAAATCTGTGACGTGTCGTAAAACATAAAAAAACAAGACAATCCCCAAGACGAATGTTAAAATGGCAGCACAAGTTTAGTTTAGCGTTATTTTTTAATATGCGCAGACCGCGTGCATGTGAGACTTTCGAGGTACCTATACTATTATGGAGCCCTAACTATATACTAGTATTAATGAGTGCAGTGAGGTTTTAAAAATTCATCAATCAAAACATTCCATTTGTGTGTTATATAAAAAAAGAATAGTTAACTCTGGTAACAATTAGCAACTTAACTTAAAAAACATTTTACCCTTTAAAACAATCATGATAAGGGTATAAGTTCTCAACCTTATTCTTAAGTGCCAGTACTCTGTCAGTAGTGAGCAGTGATTATTTCAGAAATTTTCCCGGGGGGGGGGGGGGGGA